GAACTCAAAAAATTGTATGCAAGCCAACATCAAAGTCACAATCTTCAAAACGGACGTCAAGACGGTCCTACTGTACAGAGGTGAAACTTGGAGTACTACAGCCATCATCAAAATAGTACAAGTATTTATAAACAATAATCTACACAAGATACTCACTGTCCGTTGGCCTGATGCCATCAGTAGCAGACTACTGTGGGAGACAATAAACCAGCTTTCGTCTGAATAGTAAATATGGAAAATAAGTTGGAGGTGGATAGGACATACATTGCTGAAATCACCGAACTGAATCACGAGGCAATCACTAACTTGGATTCGTATAGGGAAACGGAAAATAGGAAAACCCAAGAACAAGTTGCTTTGGGAATTGGAACCAGATATCAAAAGAATGAATAGCAACTGGGAAGGATTGGACGGGACAGGCTTGGATGGAAAGTGTTGGTGAGCGGTCTATGGTCCTCTACGAGGGATAACACGAGTAAGTATCTGGGACTTAGTGAAGAGGAGAGAATGTTGTTAGTCTTTCACTATAATAGCCAAGTCAACTGTTCGGAAATATTACATTGTTTGTGTAAGTACCAGCTAATTGAAAAACATGAGCATACCGTCTTACTTTTAATTATACAAAACTGGCTTATTAGTACAAACCCACGTTAAATGAATGACTACTATCTGTCGGTATTACTTACCTTTAAAAGTAAACATTCAGTTGGTGAGTACTAAATCCTTTTTTAACAGAAAAAATTTGCCGAACAACTTAGTTAAAGATGCCATGATCATTCGAGGAGCGTAAAAGTAACAAAAAATACGAATTAGAATACATGTCATTGTTGAAACTCCAAATAATCTCTGGAAAACAAGTTTACTACTTGTAAGTAGTTCGGCAAAGTAAGTTTATAATTTCAAGAACGTGGTCACAATTACTGTAGCCAAGTTAGCTAAACCGTCCCTATCAATATCCACATTGAAAGTGGCTAAAAATTAAGAGAAAAAGAACCTTACCGCTGTTAGTGTGTTTATATTTTCTGATAGATGCTCATGAATAAATGACACGTAGGGCTTTTTCACATTCCTTTTGAATGTGGATAAACTTTATTCGGTCACTGACAAACCTACAATCATTGCCACAGAAATAAACGGCAACCTTATGTCTTAATTAAAGTTTGCTTGAATCGAATGATATTTCAGTATTATGTTCTCCGAAACGAATAAATGGAAATAACTTGGAACTGTTCATATTTATCTGCATTTATGATTAACCTTAGTCTATTACCTACAAGTTAACATTTTGAAGTGATCGTTTTTTCGATAGCATACATAAATACATTATTATATCATTAGATATATTACTGCCATACTACAATGGAGAAAAATGTTTGTGCCATCACCGCAACAAAACAACCTTTTGGTTGAAGATTAACCATTCGGTTCATTGACCCCTGTTGCTGTTTTAAAGATACCTAAGTACGATCTCGGCAAACTCCATAATTAGTTCGTGAAAACAAAGCCTTTGTTCTCAGTAGAGCGTAAACGCTAGTAAGTCGCACCTACGTACGCATCTTTGGAGTGCTTCTTATTAAGAGCGCAGCAGAAATCATAGAAAAAATAGACTACTTACTAAAGGAAACTTCACTTTATTTTTTTTTCTGTCCAAGATTTTCCCGGTCGAATATATGTTTATGATTTTCTACGTTTACGATACGTTGTGGTGGTCCACAGTTAATTAGTATTTATGCGAAGGAAGATGGGGAGAGGACTACTTTATTCGATGTTATGTTAAAGGTGTATTTCATTTCTCAGGCCGGACCAAAGAGATAAACATTAGAGAACATACTACGTTATTCTCAGATCTAACAATAGTTTTTACACATGTTACACCTACGGAAAGACAGTCAGGTGCAAACAAACAATGCAAAATGAAAGACATTGTGATCCAAGTAGACGTTTTTAAAGAATTACAATTAAAATTTATCGAGTATGAATTTCATCTTTGATGGGGAAATACACAGACAAGGTAATAGGATAGCGGTGGGTTTTGTTATGATGGGTGGTGTTCAAGATCTGACATTGACACACAATGTGCTACACTTTAACATCCACCTGACTATTTGAGCGAGAACACAAAAGAGGACATGACAGTAAATTGACTGCCGAGAAATTTGCACAAATACTCACTTATACATAGACATCTCTACCCCTTGGAAAATCAACCCATCTTTTAACCAACGGTATTCATTTGTCCTTCAGGTCATTTCAAATTGTAACAATGTGACCTTCTCACTTGGATACTTCTGATAGGTTCACCGTATGTGGTTCTCCACTGGGATCTTATGTTGGTCGATAACTTTCTAGTTAATCCAGAAGACGAATTACTTGTAAAGCTTATTGAAAAGTTCTCATTTTACTGACGAACTATGGATGTCGGACTTTTCTTTTTCAAAAGACACATTGATTGTTAGAGTCTGTTTAACTAAATCTATCCATCTACTAAATTCACTTGCGAGGAAGAATATCAAGAAAAAAAAGCATTTCTAAATGCAATACTTACTAGGAGGGTTGATAGATCAATCGGAATGAACTCAAGAGGCTAATTAACAAGTAAAATACATAAACTTCTCTAGTTTCGTTTTGCTACAGTATAAGAAACCTAGTGAAGGCTTTCATAATGGAACGGTGGCCATATGCTCTTTAGGTACGGTTGATGAGGAAACAAATGCTTTATGTAATCCATTAAGGGAAAACGGGTTCCATGTGAAGTTTATAAACAAGTAATTGGGTAAACAAAACATGGGGTTCCTTTTGTATCTACATAATCCAACTGATTATGTAGGTCTGGTTTCGTCGACAGATGATCTAGAAACACTTTCACATACTTACGAACACCTTCCAGAGTAGTTAAAATATTCAATAGCTTGACACAATACCATATAGTCGAAACGAGTTATACAATCAGGGTGAATAAATCATACCCAATAATCTGTTGTGTTGGTTAATATCTGCTGAAATCTGTTAAACTTCGAATTCTCTAAATAGTGTAAGCAGCAGTCATCCGGATTAAAAAGTCAGAGTTTTGGATGCAATATTAATTTGTTCAACCGCTCCTACTAACTTGACCAATTTTAGGCTCGATAAACCAAGGGCCATCCTAATCATAAGATGACCCAAATTAACTAATGCGAAGGTAACCTTCCCCTTCGTGTTTTCATAACTTAGATTTACCCGTTCAAACATTATTTTTGTTATAGCTATTAAACTAATAAATACATTAGGAATTTAAATAGCACTTTCTCCGCACTACCAGTTTTTACTTTACTCATAATACATAATCATTGACCAGGCATCTAACTAGTGGTTATTTTATTTCTCTCACCTTATTTTATCTGTATTTAATTTGATTAATAAACAGATAATTTAATTTATTCAAGTTCACAATGCATACTAGACATTCCAACAATAAAAATTACTCCAGTTATTTTTAGATATTAGTATCACGGTTGTCACATGATAAAATGATATTCACTTTACCCAGACTTTTTAAACGAATTTTCGTCGCATGGATCCATCCATTATTGAAGTGAATCTCCCTATTTTCTGAGTTACGAACAATGCTATAAATATTCACTTGTACCAGGGTCATGTGCAATTTAAATATTTAACTATAAGTATGTAATATATGTAACACTAAATTAGTAGCTTGTAACAAATTGGATTCGAATTTATAATGATAATATATGTTCAACAGATTCCATCTGTTACTGTCTATTGATCTATTAGCATACAAGGTCATTTGCTAACAAACACAATAATGTAATTAATTGTACGCTGTATCGATCAATAACTTAGCATTACGGATATAATTATTTATAAAATTAAATAATTATATGATTGACGGGATGATCATAATAGTACAACCATAAAAAGACTCAATGATAACTCAAATATTTATACTAAGCTAAATTCAATAAAAGCTACTTCTATCGATCTTATCTTCTACAGTCAAGCATTTGCACTTATGGTCATTTTAATTGAAGTTAGTAACTTGGAATATGATTCCATAATTGATCACTTGTACATTAGAGACAAATATTAGGAATTTCATCTATTATCATATGTATTTTAACAATTGAATTAATGAGCCGACTTAAGCCTGACCTACATGAAAAACCTGGAAGCACTCGACGGCCGTTTCGTTCCTGTATTGGACTCCTCAGCGGTGCGCATATACGAATCCGCACCCGGGACTTGAACTCGGGACCTTCGGTTTTGCACGAGAACGCTTAACATCTAGAGCACTGAGCCGGCATCCAACGACGTTAATGTCTAACTCCAACCAATCCACGAAATCGCACCACCGTCCACCATTGTCTTCAGTGAGTAACTGCCTCACAACAGACACGGTTGAAGTCCACTGGTCACGACTTCTCACTAGAACTCCAGGATATACCTCTTGAAGCCAGTCACTAGTGAACACATAACGATTATTATCAGGATGGGGGATTGTAGAGCTTATAGATTGATTGAAGTTAGTTATTAGCACCGTTGGATGCCGGCTCAGTGCTCTAGATGTTAAGCGTTCTCGTGCAAAACCGAAGGTCCTGAGTTCAAGTCCCGGGTGCGGATTCGTGTATGTGCACCGCTGAGGAGTCCAATACAGGAACGAAACGGCCGTCCAGTGCTTCCAGGTTTTCCATGTAGGTCAGGCTTAAATCGATTCATGAGTTCAACCATTAAATTACTACAATCTCCACAAACTCCCATTTTAATAATTATATATATGTTTACTATCATTCAACTAATATTAGTTCAACGATAACTAGGGAGTCAAGCATTTCGTTGAACAACTTATTGTAACTTTTCCGTTCTGAAATCTAAGCTTTATAGAGGGATGCAGCATTGCGATTTATTTCTCAAATGAATGTAAACTTATCAATGACTGTGAAACTAAGACGTGAATCAAAATCAATGTAGTTAATAAAAAACGAAATCACCTGACTACTCATATCTTTAAGCTGCGATAAAGTGACGATGTATTTAATTTAATTTACTAAAATATATAAAGTAAAAGAGATAGGATTTTAAGCAACTAGTACTGAAGTCAAATTTAATCAGGGAAAAAACATGAAACTTTGAAGTTACGCTTTAAAGAAATAAATCGTCAAAACATATTTACACAGTTTATTCAATAATGATCACAAAAATAAAATTTCAGTAAAGCGTTAATAAGAACTTGATTTCTAATTTTATGCAAATTAACAACCAAAGTTAATCAATTGACTTGAAGCTATATTAAACTAAATTTAAATCCCATTGTGAAAATTAGAACAACAAATCAATGAAAAAACCAATTCAAGCAGTAAATATGATGAAATTAATGTTTATCAAAAAAGTGATAGATCAAAGAAGACTATATACTACTTGCATAAACGTAAACTAAAATCTGCAATTAAATTCATATGATCTGATGGAAATATAGCTGACGGTAGACCATTAGGACCAATTTCAGTTTTAGATGGAATGGACCAAGCACCTAACAAAGTGCATAATCGATCACAGTACCAAATATAATCAATCGTGTGACAGTCTTCGGTAAGTTCTACAATTCGTTTACTTTTTCTGATTTTCCATGTTGTAAATTCAGGTTCGTTACAACCACCTGCTACGTAGTAAGCACTTGTGAGCTTGTACAGTGTGTTAGAATTCAAGGAGAAATTTTGTAAAATATTAATTACTGGTTCTGTAGGTTCAGCATTGAAATCACCGCAAATAAAAATAGGAGGAAATACAGTACTATTTACAGGTGCAGAAGTGGAAGAAATACGCTTGATAAATGAATTTAAATATTTAACAAGTTCTTCTCCTTGTTTTCTTCGTATCTCAGAACAATATACCTTAGCTTTTAAGTGAAGACATATTATGTAGATATCAGGGCAGCTCTTGTTTAAGTGTTCAACATCTTTGGGTATGAAGTGACAAAAAAGAGCACAACGTGAATTGTCTTCATTGAGAGGAATCTTTTCAGATTTTATCAGTTCATAATTATCATTCCTATTTGTTGAAAACATAAGAAAGACAAAAATGGTTACCGATAAATAACAGCAAGTCCATCAGGCCCGTGATTATTTTTAACCATCAAACAAGGAGAGGACATCTTTGGTAGAAAACAAAACGAATAATTATCTCTCCCACTGCTGGCGTTGAGACTTTTTACTATGTCATTAATTATGTCTGCTTCTTGTAAGCAAACAATATCTGGATCATAACGCAGGATCTCTTCACTGATTGATTTACATCTACGTTCAAACGACAACATTTTACAAGGACAGTATATGAATTCGTCCAACGGAACAAAGCCTGTATTATGGAAATAAATAAAGCTCTACATCTATTAACCTACCCTGAGCAAGCATGTTCCACTGCATAATACGTATTTTTAAGTCATTTTTATCGCAGTTTTCTAGGTGGATGTAACTCCTTGAGTAGGGCTTTTCGTTTGATTCACAAAGAGACATTGAACTAGAGGTAAGAAATTTATGGATACATACATATATTAGGTGCTATTGAGTAAAACGTGGGTAGATTAGCGTTTAATGAGATCAGTTTGAAACTAGGAAACGATAAAGATTCGGGCTTCTGAGAAACGTCAGAAGACTGAAAAACATAGTAGTGAATACCACGACAGACTGCTGAGGCATTTTAAATTTATTGACCATATGCAGAGCAAAATGAGGCAAAATTCTGAATTGCATAGTTTAAAAAAATAATAAGATTCCGATTGAAGCAACAGGCACTAATTCGCAACTATTGTAACAAAATGGCTACATATCAAAATGTGACTAACAATCTTATAAGGCAACAATGTAATTAGTAGACATATGCATCTATTTTTATTAGATGTAATTGTTCAATGATGAGAAACAATTTGCTTTATAAAAATTGTTCATTTAGACTAAAAAACAAAGCTTTACAGCCATTTCTTGATAAACATAACAGAAAATCGTATTAGAATTATGCAATACGCTAACGAAGAAACGTAATCATTATTACTAGTACCTAATCACAAGAAAGGGTAATGGATGTAATAATATACATGACTATCAAACTAACAAAGAGACTGAGAAATCCTGAAAAGATAAAGCCCGAATCGAAAATGATGGAATAAATGAGAAAACTTTATATATGTACTGCTTTGTGTCTGCAGAGCTAATCGATACATACACGTCATAATATGAGTGTCAATATATGGAAGACGTGTAAGAACGCATGTGTCGGTCTTAGATTTTTGTCAAGGTGTCCAAGTAATTTTATGACTGTTTATGGATGGATTTAATACAAAATACATGCAAGGTTAGGTTCGGCCTTACTGACACAAGTCTCTCTCTATGCTCACACTACACTGTTCGCCGTTGGAAACAATTCTCAACTCGGTGTACCTGGATACATAAGTAGGTAATCTTATTGTAAGCAAGATAGGCGATGAAATATAATCTGTCTTATGCCTGTTCTCATTACCAGTAGTGTTACTTTCAAGTTATTTGTCTGTGATTTATCAGCCATACTAATTTAGGATGCATACTGCTATATGACTAAAAGAGTTCTTTTGAACTGAATCTGTATGACAGCTATATATATCTGATCATCACTGACTTGGTAGGACTTCCAACACTAAATGGTAATCGCATAGAAACAATGCTAAATTTTGGTACATAGCGGTTAACCAAAGTGTTTCATAGACCCTACTCTTGACAGCGTTTTCACATATAAGTTGTCAAGACTGGAGATTGTTGAAAAAGAAATAAGGTAGTCATGCAGTAACATTGGAATATGAAATTAAGAATATTCATAGACTCCGTATGTGCAGGCTCATCGGACGTGATTCACAGGCCTATAGTCTATTGGTTTAGTAGGTGAATACGTACTAAGAACGACACTATAGTACTACTGTAGTAGATGAGTTACTTAACTATATGTTTCTTGACACCTATTCCAAAAATCAAAAGAAAAGGTTCAAGCAATGAACACTAAAATCATACTTCTGTGTAGAAAGTGGAACCAAAAGTTACCAGTCGATCGAAATGGTAGAGAAATTTACAAGATCTTATTCAACGTATATATATCCAGCATATAAGGAAAATAGTTAAAAATATGTATGCAGTCAGTGGTCTTTCGTTTCATTGTGTATTTGTCAGTCTGAGTATTTTTTAAAATCGTCTAGCCTTTAATTTAAAAGATAAATATTTTGAAAGTTACTAAAAAATGTTTGTTTATAAAACAGGTGTGAGAAAGCACAAGTATTCAAAAACCAGTCATCATGCACAAAAGAAACCGCTTATCATTTAAAGTGAGGAAATGTGGAAATTCGAGTATAAAGAATGGTAAATATTACCGAAAACAGCTCAAGAAACAATACAGAAAAGTCAGCAACTATAGAAATCTAACTTTCTATCTGAAGTTTATCCCGAAGGTTTGTGATTTTCCAGTGTTCTAATTTAAATGCGTTTACTCACTGTATATCTTTGTTTGAAATTAACTTCATATTTTCCTTGCCTGTTTCTACTGAGTTTAACTTAGACAAATCATTCAGTAATTACTGTCGATTAATTGACAGCAGTAAGTTGCATGTTATTCTTTGCCCTCGTTCGTCACAGTTAGCTTGATATGGCTGTGAACAAAGCTTACGAACTGCCACTTTAAAACACTTCCAGCGTTATTCCATATTTCCAAAGGGCATTATACATTAAAAAATAACAGTTGTAAGAGAATATTTTGAGATATAAGAGTGGTCAACTACAAATGCGCATGACGGAACAACATATTATAACGTCATTTAATCGTGGCTAATTAGTTTTGACTTGTATTTTGTATATCTTAACAGACTTCGAGTTTTCCTACAGAAACTCACAAGAAATCCAAAACGTGGAAGGTCAATTGGAACTATTAAACAAGATAATTCTAAACAGTAAAAAGTCTCAATGTACAATACTCACTCGTGTTAAGTTATGGAGCAAACTATTCCTGTATAGTAAGTGATTTAAATGTGATTCTTATTATTAAGTGATTTTTAAGTGACTATGGGCTTTCTTTAAACTCCACCATGAACTTTGTGAAGTTTTAGGAATAGTAGTGGAAAATTATTCTACGTAGGGTTTATTGATACAAGGACTTTTATTCATTTTCTACTTAAACGCCGTCAGAGCATTTTGTAAAGATGATAATGTAAAGGTTCTTAAAAAAATTATTGAAAACTCGTATGCGAAATTCACCAAGATGAACATCTTTTATAAGCAAACGACATTGATGATGATCATATTAGTTTTACCGGATTGCAACTAGCTAAAGGTGTCAGGTCAAACTTCACACAAAATCGCGTTCAGAACACACGCCTCACAACGCCGGTGCGCGCGAACCGAATATGACTATATGGTTAGTGAAATGTCACTGAATTCTAGCCAAATCATATGGTACTCGGGTCACTAAATGTCAAATAGTTTGCTGGTCCTCATCGATGTCAAGAACGATCAGTGCGCGCCAATTAGTTGCATGTCGTGAATCGGCTCATAAAGCAGTGGTCACACTCTGTTCCTTGTACCTACTCTTACCAATATATTTCTGTAATAACATCGTTTGTATTGTATGATCATTAAGGTAGCCATAGTATATGGACACGACGAAAAGGGCAATCCACGTTAGGTACGAAGCACGAAGTATGATTTTAGTTTTTGCTAGTCGTTCACATATTCTCGTCCAACTTGATTAGACCCCAGTCATCGAACTTGAAGTTATTGAGCTAGTAAAATATCACCAAGGATTAGTCAAAATACATAATGCTGTTTATTTTAAAGTGCCACTACATGATTTTAGATGACTTATTATTAACCCACCATGTTAAATCCATGTAAAAGAAGGCCATGGCTATAGAAGTCTCTCTTTCATTTGGTGCTACGTTGGTTTAACCGACCACTTATACTCTTATGATAATCCCTTATAACTGAAATGTGCACCTTGACCACTAACGCAGTGTCTTCGAACCATGTTTTCCAGCCATTTGAAATTATAAGAAAATGCTATATAAAAATCACGTGGTGGCTAGGGAAAAGACTGAAGTATGTTTATCTCTCTTGATAGATAACTAATGTTGGTGTTACGTTTAAGTTGAAAGCAAATGGTTAGTGGTATACAACTGAAGAGATCCAGCCAATTGGTCTTGATATTCTACAACTGACAGAGTTTTTGGCAGTATGCTAGGCTTTAAAGAATGTCCGATACATTATAAGGCGTTTGGACGGCAGCTACTGATGATGGGCCTCGCTGTGAAGCGTTGACGGTAAGGCATTACAACTACTATACATGCAAGAGAGATAGCTAGATATCAAAGTTAGTGTTGTAGCTAAGGTATCCGGTACCGAGTGTGAGAACGAAAGACGATCTAGCTATCTTCTACCGACTAGTATAGGGGAATAGAAGAACCACGAAAATATAAATGATGACGTCTATTCGAGCTGGAGGAAAATAATGTGATCTTCTAGCTTTCAAGTTCATCACGCTTTCATATAAACAACTGATCTGGCTCACTCTATCGTGGTAATAGGACAAGGAATCTTCTCAAACTAATACGGTTCCAGTTATATCGTCGAACAAAAATAAAGGAAAATTCTCTTTCCAACAAAATCGTTTGCTTATTCTGTGCATGCATGTTTACAGTTGTGTACCTTAGTCTTGTTTTATTTCAGTTATTACTTTGTCACTTCAAGCTGTAACCAGATATTATTATCCTCGAATGATTTTCATGATCCTTATAAGGTAGTTATTATAACCTTTTACGTATTTTATTTCCACTGATATCTGTCAATTGAGTAGTTATCTCTGACATTAATAATTATTCTTCTCATAAATTATTTTCGTCGTCTTATTTTCTTCCAGTCCCCTGAATTTTACGCAACACCTTTCAAAATTTTGAACCACTTTCCAATGTAACCTTTCATAATATTTTATAGACATATATTTGCCAGACGAATGAACAACACCAGTAAGTGATTTCGTAGAAAGGCAAATTTTCTTCCCTGAATCCTCTGCATTTTTATAGAATTATCAAAGTATACTGAAGACTTTAGGTTAGCAAAGTATATATAGACGCTGTCATGTGAGCTGGTCAAGGCTATTCATTCGCTCAATCCGTGTCAGTCATCTATGACCTTAACGATATTCAACAAAATAATCAACATTCACTAATCTTTCATCTGAAGTTGAAACAGTTCTGTTCTAAGGATGATTTAGCTGGAATTCAGTGACATATTGTAGTGATATTGGTTCCTAACCACACAAAGTTTTAAGCTGAGTGTATGATTACTGTGGAGATTTGCATTCAACATATAACAATAGGAGCACATCAACAATGATGAAAGCGGAAGGAATTAATCAAAGTGGAATGGATTGGTCATGCAGGTGCAGTCACTCTTTGTAACCTCTTGCTTTCTGTATCAAATGTATTACTCTCTTCATAGCTCAGATGTGTTGATCAGGAGTGCTAGACGCTATGGTGATGATCATCACGATAATTATTATGATGGGACTTTAACGTAAGACTTTGTGGATTGGGTGGTCGCATCATGAGAGATCTACAATTTCGGGATTAGTTCTATTGTTATGGTAATACTAATAACTAACGGTGCAATTATTCTACATTGGTTGAGACCGACTAAAGAAACACAACCTGTTATTAAGTTTCATATTCGCTTCAACTTTACCGATCATTTTTTACGTTTGTTAACCCATTTTCCATTAGTCTGTTGATTAATGCTCACATATATTATCTTATTGTAATACTGATTGATACTCACTTTAGTAAGTCAATCGATATTGGTAACTGGCCATCTGTATTTATGATTAGCTGCGATGGTTCATTAGCAACCTTTAGTAGCATTTACATGCTTCAGTGAGATAGGTTTGTTAAAAATCAACCGCTAGCAAACATAGCTGTTGGTCGACGATAATACATATAAGCAAGCAACGTAAGTAAGCACTAGAACGAAACTTTGATAAGCTATGATGTTGTATCCTTATACATTAGCTTTCCAATTGATAGATGTCTAGATTTCGTCAGT